AAGCTTTATTCTACGATTATTAAATAATTAGAATATTAATTTTAATAATTCTACCGAGATGCCTTTTTATCGAATGTACCATACAATATTACTATTATTATTATGATTATTATTTATTATAAGAACTACTATAATATCTTTTTTCATTTTCATTTAAATTCAATTCCTTATATTCACGAGAATTTTCCTCGGAATAAATACGAAAGCATTTCGCGTCGTCTCCTTTCCATTGAACTGCAATTAGAATTCAAACTATCGAGCGTATAACCTGTAGGAGTTGTAAGTACACGTACAAATGTACAAACACACACACTCACACACATCTAATATGTACACGTATACACAGTAGTATACAGGTCTCAAATGTTGGAATAACTCGACGAGACTGTGGTGGTATCGGTGTTCCAAGAGAGAAAAATGAAAAAAGAGAGAATTAGGTGGGAGGACGAAGACGGGGTATGAGAGAGGGGGGAGGGGAGGGGTAGTTGGGTGAGCCAGAGAAGAAAGAGAAAGGTAACGCGAGAGTGGAATCCTCCTGGTGCGCCTCTTAAGTATCTAGAAAAGCACGTCGTAGAATACCTTATGAGGCTTAAAACCATCTACGAAAGGAATGTCACAAAATCTAACCTGTGTCTCGTAAAAAAAAAAAAAAAAACCAACAACAAGAACACAACACAACACAACAAGAACAATATAACCACCAACAGTAACAGCCAACAGCAATTCTACACAGGAATCTACACATACATATATATATATATATATATATATAAGGAAAGACCAAAGGAAACGACCACTCTAGACTCAACACACTCATCTCCACTCTATTCTTTTCTATTTTTCTTTTTCTATTTTTCTTTCTCTTTGGTGAACATTCACTTCACTCGTTGATTCTTGTTGCGTGGTGTAACGTTGCTTGCTGCTGCTAACGAGCCTCAATTTCAACGAATCTTTTGCAACCCGGTTCCTTAAGATTTGTCTTCTTGTATTTTACCTTTTTTCCTCTGTCTATCCGTCCGTCCGTCCGTCTGTCTATGTTTTCCTTTTTTTTCTTTTCTTTTTCAAAAGTTGGAATTATTCCATTCGTAGTTACTACGAGAAAACCGTACCACGGTGTATATCCATCTCTTTTCATCCTTTGTTAACTTGTACGCTTTTGTATAAGAAAATGAGGGACGGGGGAACGGGGTAAAAGGGGGAGGGGAAGAAAGAAGGAAAAGGAAAAAAAAGAATCCTTCCGTGCATGATAGGAAAGTAGGGCAACAACCGATGTAACCTCCTTGTATGATGCGTAGAGTCGTTAAAGTAACGGAGTTTAATAAGTTTCATTTTGAGTTGTGCATGTATGTAAAGAAAACTCACCCTACTCGTGCAATCATTTCTTTTTTTTTTTTTTTTCTTTTTTTTTTTTCAATTTCATCAGTAATAATATTTATAATAAAATATTGAGGATGTTAAATTAGAGTACCGAAAGTGATTCGTGCTTTTCTTTTTAAATGAATTTTCCACCCACGATATACGTATGTCTATTTGGTTTCGTATTATTTTATTGATGAACAATATACGAAACATTTGTTTTTTCTTATCGTCGTTGTCGTCGTACTTTCTAATCTAATTGAATAAAATATTCATGAATGTGTTGTGTTTTATTGTTTATCTTCGAAAATAAATTCATCATATTTTCGAAGAGTTTACAAATCTTATGGGGTTTGTTAAAATGAGAAAAATTTGTAGCTGTCTTTTAAATATATAATTTTCTTAGATTTGGATCTCTAGATATTTGGGATACAAGTTCTTGTTATTTTTTTTTTTTCTTTTTTCGTCATCCAAGTTACGATCTAAAACTTTCAATTGACATTTCGATTGATAACACTCGTAATAAGGAATGAAATGTACTAACTTGTAATTCGGTATGATGTGTATATACCAGTTAAACCGTATGTATCATTTTCCCACGTCCATTCCTTCTTTCTTAATATTTCATTTTGTATATATCGGGAAAGAACAATTTTTATTCAACGTTAAATCAAAAAATTGGAAATTTAATGTTTTCAAAATATTTTCATGTTTTTTTCTTTTAAGATATTCCATACAATTTTTGTCTTTCATTTTTATTTACTTTTAATATACGTACAAGGATATATATATATATGTGGATCTATCGAAAAGATTTGATTTTCTGCAGCACAACAACAACACAACATTTATTTTCTTTTTCAAATAAAATTTAATTAAATCGAGAGAAAGAGAGAGAGGAAAATAAAAATTGTTTCCGTGTTAGGTTCAAATCTTTTCTAACTCACCCGCGTGACACGTACGTAATAATTAATAATACTAGTATTTTTTTTTTCTATTATATAATTTTCCCCTTAAATTTAATTATTGATCAACTAAATATAAATATTTATTAATGATAAAATTTAACAGGGAACTTGGACATGAAAGAAGTAGAACTTAGTTTGATTTAGTTGGACGTTTCGTCCCTTTATTGGGACTTCTTATTGGGAAAATTCATTGAGTAGAAAAAGACGCTAAACTGTAAAGATTAAGTTGCTGAAGAAGTCCCAATAAAGGGACGAAACGTCCAACTAAATCAAACTAAGTTCTACTTCTTTCATGTCCAAGTTCCCTGTTAAATTTTATCATTAAAAATTGTAATTTTTGGACGAGAGAAATACTAAATAAATAAATATTTATTTTTAATCGTTTATTCGTTTAATCGAAGAAATATTTTATTTTTTAAATATAGTCGATGGGAGGAGGGGGAGGGACGCAACGTGGATATTATTTCACCTCGTCCATTTCGATATGACGATTTTCTTTTCTCACTGACATTATTTGACCATTCCCATGCATTTTATTTTACTTGTCATATTCTCTATTTTTTGAACACACAGCTTGAAAAATATACGAATGTTTATTTTGCAAAACGCATTGTGAAAAGTGTCAGGTTAAAAGCATCGAATAATGTCGAACGATAGTTTCGATTTTTCTCTCATCCCTTCGCGTGATCCTTTTCCTTTGATAAAATAACAACAAAATTTTATTTAATCATCGTCAAATATAAGTATTATATCGACCGTTCATTTTGAAAGTGTTGTAATTCCATTTTCTCTTGTTTCGAGAAAATTAAAGGTTAACATATTTATTAATTATAAAATTTAAACAAATTATTTGAAGTATGGCAATGTTCCTACTGTTTTATCAATATGTAATTTGATTATATAAATTTTTTTTAGGCGTATTTTATTAAACTGATGTATATACTTACAAGCTGCAAATGGACTTACACCATTTTCAAAATAAACGGTCCATATACAGAGTGTCCCAAATAAATCTAGTCACAATATTTCAAGTATTTGCGATAATCTGACAAAAAGATACTTTAAACCAAAGTTGATCTGTTTTTAATTGACTATACATAGCAATAAAAAAATTATCGAAACAAATTTCTTTTTTATTGTTTTTTAAGGCAACCTTTATTTTTTCAAATAGCCCCTAGTATTTTTGACTTAACAATACATTTTTTACAAGTTAACATGAAACTGCGATTTGCTCCCGTGAGAATATACTTTTAATATTTTGTATACTTATAGCAAGGGGATCTTAATGATTTTTATATTAAATTAAAGTGCACTCTTTTGTCTACGCGCAGAATACTTTGTCAAGTTATAAATTTAGCATGTAAACTTCATAAAATGTCAGAGAATGCAATGCTGTAAATTGTGCATCTTTGTAATTTCTTTCAAAAGTTTTGGTAAATATTTTTTATACTAAAAGTGAATAAATTTTAATAAAACTTGTATTAAATTAAAGTACACTCTTTTTTCTATACGTAGAATACCATATCGAGTAATAAATCAATCCGGAAAAGCTCATAAAATGGCAAAGAATACGA